ATCCAATTTGTTATGTTTAATTTGATAAACATTTTAATTATGTAATTGTAATTTTTACTTAATGTAATTTTAATTTAGTTTAATAAACGATATCAAATATAAAACTGTAATTACGCAGGTAACTACTATTGATATAATAATTATGAATGGATACCTTGCAATACGCTACAAAAATAAGATATCCCAGAATAAATATTACAAACTTCTAGGTCTTGTAGAGGTTGACAATGACAACTTTTCGTCAATGAACAAACAGGTGGGAAATTTGATTTAACGAAATTATACACGTGACATATTCACGAAATATCTTTGACTATGTTCAAGTGTGACCCTCAATCACCAGTGCACTTAGCAGTTCTTTACTAGTAAGAAGCGAATGTCTCTTGTTTATCTTCCTTTTATGAAATTTACTACAATATGTTTGTAATCAGGAATTGATTAACTTCGACATTTTACGTACTCTAGAAGTTTGTGACATTTATTCAGAAACGCCCTATATTTTGATTGTTACATTACAAGTTCCGCAGAGTAGATGCCTGACCTGACGCGGACGATCTTCGCGAGCCAGGGCATGAAGATCTGCAGGGTGAGCTGCAGCATGCGCAGCCCAGTGGGCTCCATGATTTGACGGTTCATGGCGCGCACCTCGGGGTTGGGGTCTTCGAAGCAGTTGGCGCGCAGGCTGAACGCCACCGACGACACCGACTCCGTGGTGAAGCGCGACGCCAGCTCCTTCACGTCCATCCCGTCTGCGGATGCGTGAACGCGCAAGCGTCAAGCTTGACACCTTAAGCATTTTACCCTTAATTTCTTTTTGGTCTTAATCTGCGCCCGTTAAGCGCCATTTCCCGGTCGGTGAGGAGATCGAAAGCAAAGCACAGACGGAGACTAGCGGGAACAAAGATATTGGTAAGAAATGGTATGGCGTTTAAGACATTGGCATCATTATGGAAGTAGATAAAAGGCGTTGTTTTGTTGTAGGTGTTTTTATTTCATAAATCTTTTCCGGGCGCATGGCGACTTCAGTGAAATTTTGAGGGTCTGGGGGCCCAGAGATACAGACAAAACATATGTAACAAATCATATCTATTTCTATAACAAAGATATTATATTTTTGTAGTTTGAATGCATTTGGTTTAACTACAAACGTCTAATAGGTTGTTTCAATTTTGTGAGTGTGTGCAAAGTTTTCAGTGTAAAGGGGAGTTTAACATTAATTTTTTCAATACACAATTTTGTGTACAGGTAAAGAAAGTGTTAGAATAACAATGTGATAAATATGAAAACATAGTGGAGTTGCAAAGGACATAAAATATTGTTTTGGAGCTATTTCATAAGCAATTCCTTGACAATGCTTTTTCGCCAGCTCTATTGTAAATACGTTTCTGGATTAAATTTTTCACTTCTCGCGAAAATGGCGGTTTAATTTTTGTAGTCCGGATGGACATTCTAATTGCTCACACTTTGCAATTAAACTTTGGTTGAAGCAATACCTCACGTTTATATCTATCAGATGCCATGTTACTAAATATATTGGAATAAACTTTGGAAGTTTCAGAGTACGTTTTAGCAAAGAAATTTTATAAAATGAATGTTTTATAAAATATTAGCTATTACACTGTCAAATATTTTCTTTTATAGAAGATCTTTGAGAGTGTGATCCGCCGGGGCTGGGTGGGGGTGGGGTGGCTCACCGGGCAGGCTGGCGGGCTCCTCGTCGCGCACGAAGCGCACCATGGCGTCGCACGCCTCCGCCACCAGGGGCAGCATGTTGCGGATGCGCGACGCCGAGAAGGTTGACGTCAGCTTCTGCCGCGACGCCTTCCACCTGCGCACCACGCGCCACGTGCCACACAACGCGCGCGCAAAATGGGATGCGGTTTATGCCATAAAAAATCTTCAAATATGCTTTTAATACTGTACATGTACGGCATAAAACTTCTTAAATACGCACTTTAATATGCAATTAAAATTAACAATGTTTCATAAACCATAACCCTTTCTTGATAAAATTCAAGAGAAGCATGCTTGGAATGAAAATATATATTTTTGGGCAAACATAGTTTAATTTACTCTACTTTGCGAGACAAATAAAATAGCATTTACGTTTGTGAAGAACATTGTCTAGTATTTCTTATGACTGGTTTAAAAAATATGTTATCAAGAAATATCCAACATTTGTGCAATTTTTTGACCAGCTATAGAAAACCAAAATAAACGCAAGCTCTGACAAGCTCTTCCGAGTCAATGAAAGCTCACAAATAAATAGATTCTGTGAAATATGAAACATTTTATAGATAGGTCTCCATTTTAACGAAATATGTCAAATATACTCCGATAATTACTGAATATGCACCAACCGGAAAAATCGTCCGAATATGCATCAATATGCACTAACATATTCATCTATATAGCAAAATATTCTAATCTAATGTCAAAAAAATTCACTTAGCTAGGCACTGAAGTAACGTACAAAAACATGCAAAATCTTAGAAATCCGCTTCCGAGTAATCAGTATTTCTAAAATTCAGCTACCCCTTTCTGCGTGAAAATTCATCTTTCGTTTCAGGACTGAACTAAGGAGTTTTGGCACGTTTGGCTGTTAAAGAGCGTATCTCAGAACCACATGATGTACTCGTACGTCAGAGGCAACTACGTGACCACGTGGCCATCGTTTAAAGGATTATAAACGTTTTGCACAACCTTTAGAACACTTTATAGCACTTTTGCGTTCCAAGATTATGAATCAGTTTTGAACTATCATAGCAGAGTAAGCCACTAGTGCTATATACTCATAATTTCTCATCCTCCCATTAGTATTTGTTCGACTAGACTTGAGCAGTACCACCAACATAATGTTGCAATGCGCTGGTGTACAATTAACAGTCATCGATATAAGTCACGTGATTATACAGATAATTCTGGTAGGGTATTGTTGTCCGATGTAGCTGTATCGTAACGGTAGATTTGGTGCACGCACGTAAACTCAAAGGTGGCTTCGAAGCGATACTACAAACAAGCGATTCTCACGGTGTAAGGCCTCTCTGCTTGTCAGGAAACGAATGGACCTTCGCCAAGCGTATCTCTGCACTAAGGATGCGACATCGATGGCGATGCTATTGTAGAAGCATCGATGTTTTAAACATCGATGTTTTGTTATAGAAGTTTTTTCTTTTCCTATGTTTTGTTTTTGAAAATTGCCATGACCACAATACTGTAAAAGTTAAAATATGAAATAATAACTGATAGTAACACTGTTATTCATCTGTTGGAACCAAAGAAACTGTTTGCAGAACCTTCGTCGACCAAACTCTCTCACCAGAAATTGTCTCCATGCCCTTGCATTTCCTCTTTCTTTATATTCATTTCGCACATTGAGATATGGTCGACAAATACGCTGTGGGCGTAGTGTCTGTTCCGGCCCTTATTCGGCGAATTGATAAATACGAACACTGTCAAATTAAATTTTAATGCACACAAATTGAAAGTGAGAGTTACTAATACAGTCTAATACATCGATGTTGAAAAATATCGATGGTTTTTAATCGATGTATTATTAACATCGAGGTTTTAATTTTGAACATCGATGTTTGATAAAATCGATGTTTTGTTATTGATGTCGCATCATTACTATGAACCACTCGTCGAGTTCGGCGGCGAAACAGTTTTAACCATACGGCACTCGCAACTCAACGGCGCTTCCGCAGGCGTCATACAGCTCTTGATGTTTCCGGTTTGTTCGTTTTTTAAAGAACTGAACTAAGCGATTGAGCCATTTCCCACCTCTCTTGTCTTTGCTTGCTTCCATCCTTGGGTCGGATTATATGAAATTGACAATTTTTACAACTGTTTCAAAATTTAAATAGGCAAAATTATTCACTTTTCTGCTTTAAAATGTTTTGGCTAAGATTATAAGTAAGTTCTAAGTAACAGGATATAGTACACACAAATTAGAATACTATTTTGATCCCGACGGCAGCACATTGTGGCAAAGGAAAATTGTGATTAAAGTCATGCTTTAATCATATTTAAAAGAAGGATTTTTATTAGACTGAGACGAGTGCTACATTTATTCAAATTTGATTAAAGTGAGAACATCTCTCGAGTTTTTCCATTTTATCAAATTTATCCCAATGTTTACACCTTGAAAATTGTTCGCCGTCGTTCTAGCAGAGGTCATTAAGTCGCAAAAGTTTTCGCATATTATGATTAATGTTTAAGGGTCACCGATTAATTGGAGTTGCAATATTTGAAACAAGGAACAAAACATTTTGGTTTCTTGTGAAATAATTTCTTTCATATGAGATATTACGTTATAACCATATGCTGTATTTCTGAAACACCTTCTAAGAATTCAGCTCATTGATCTTTCATTGTCATACATATGAACATTTGATTACTATCAGATGAGTTTGGTCACTGATTTTTTTCGACGGATACAGTTATTAAACATTTTTAAGAAATAAAAACACAAAATCACATATTATGAATTGAAAAGTTGATATTTTTCGGTAAGTAAACTTTATTTTGCGATGGTTCGAGGACACAAATTCTTCATCTTCAGGTTACTGACTAAAATAAATAAAAGTATGTAAATGTATGAATGAATGTATTAAAAATAAATAATTGTGTACTGTTTCATTGTAATTGTATCATTTATTTTAAATATCCATAACCTGCTATTTATGTTTGTTTTTTAAATTGTTTTCTCTTATATTCATTGGTCTGAAAATGAGGAAAGATTCAAGTGGTCAAAACGTCACATAACCAAGTTTTGGTTAATGAAAACTATAAACTTTTAAAATTTACGTTACGTTATTCTGCGTTTTTATTTCTCACAATTTTTAATAACTGTGTCTGCCTCTGAGTCCAAACTCATCTAATAGTACAGACAATCTTCTATTTTATTTTTATCATGAACATTTGGCAGGCATTGAACGTTTTTAGTGGTTTCATCCCAAGAGCAGACGTTATTGGGTCATCACTCGCTGGTGGCCTCCTTACTCTTCGCCTGTGAGGACGAACGGGTTCTTGGCCACCAGCGGGTCGAGGTCTTTGTCCACAGGGAAGACGTTCTTCTGGAAGCTGGCGAAGTCCTTGACGAGGATGGCGCGCAGCAGCTCCGGGTCGCGCACCATGATGGCGGGCTCCTGGAACTGGAAGACGCCCACGTACGCCTTGCCCTCGTGCTTCCTGCGCAGAAACCCAGCAGCGGAGCACGTCAGAAACAAACTCGAGACGTGAAACAGCTGAAGCTGCAAGTTCATTGAGCTAAACTAAATATTACGCGAATATAATGCGCGCCTTTTTTTACCAAATGTAGTACTACTCGCGCAACTTTTCTTGAACAAGGACTGAAGAAATGCGGGTAGAGTTGGGGTATTAGTTACGAATTCGGCCGCTAGATTTTACGAAGCAATGCCAATCTCTGGAGAATCAGTCATGCCTTCGCAACTTTCTCAATAATTTGCGTTCTAATTTTCTCAGGAGTTCGAGGTATTTCATGTGATGAAACTTCACCTGCTTTGGTCATTTATTTAATTTTTTTTTTGGAGAAAATCACGATCAGAAGTTCTCGTCTTCAACGTAAAATAGTTTCTATTTCGCGCCAGTGAAGATGTATCAGGAATGTTGCCATCAGTGCACGCTGCGAGCTTTTGTCTTCAACTGTTTATTGTGTCAGAGAAGGGGAAGCAAGGTCATCGTTCAAGAAAAGTTGCGCGAGTTATACTCAAAATCTAGGTGCGCATTAGATTCAATGGCACTTTAAATGCAATGGCGCATTACATTCGAGTACAAATTGTTTCTATAGCTGCATTCAATTTTTTCATTTATTACCTCACAATGGATTGCTGTAGTTTAAAATTTTAACTTCGTTTCATTTATTGTTGGCAAATTATTGAGAGGTTTTGGTTACGATATGGAGGAAACAGAGAAGATCGTCTTATGATTCTTTGATGTATTACATAAATTTAAATAAAATACCGAATCTATTATTCTGACATGGATGCGCATTACATTCAATAGAACCACTTTTTTCTTAATTTTAAGTTTCAAATATGGGGTGCGCGTGAATACGGTACATATAAAATAATTATTTTATTTCTTTCCGATGGTGCTCCCATTTCGCGTCATGCATAACATCCACCAATTCACAGAATAAATGTAAACAAAGAAGACTACAAATTCAAAATTCATTAAAAATGTTATCACGATTACAGATAAATTAATGAAAATGTACTTTAGTTTATACTATTGTGTTCTACTACAAGGCTATGAAAGTATGTACCTTTGTTGGTTTACCTTTGCTATGTGCATCTGTTTTACCCCAAATATAAACAAACTTAATTTCAATTTATTTCATTAGCTGTCATAACCTTAATCACTTTATGATATCAAATCAAACAAAAAAATAAAAATTGCTAGATAAACAAAGTTTGGTATACAAAAAATTATTGCGCTTCTTCTTTTTTATTGGTTTTGGAGAGTTGAGAAATTTGCATCAAACGAAGTGGTACCCCACATTTAGAGCAACTAACTTCTCCCCAAGAGAGCAAGTGATCAGCTGGTATATAATCGAAGTTTGATAAAAAAACTTTGCAACACAAAATTCGGAACTTTTCCTAAGTATTTTTCATGAGTTGGGAACAATTTGAAAATTCGGTGGCTCTGGAAGAAGTAAGGGAGAATCTATTTATACCAGTCATGCGAACCGTAAAACATCTCAAAATGTTTACGTTTACGTTTTATGTTTGAATGATATTATGGATTGCCTTTGAATTTGATCATGCGATACGAGGGTAAATAACTACAAGAAATATTTGAAGTTTATATAATGTTATGGACGGGAAGGGGACTTTATTCATGATACATCAAAAATTCTTTTTTTTCCTTTTTTCATCCGGATGTGAAATGGAGTAAATTGCAGAATATGGAAAGTATTCACAAAATATATTATATTCATGAAATTTCTCTTAAAATCGAGAATAATTCAAATTATAAATATCATTTAATGAAAGTGGAAATATCACACAGCACATATTTCGTAGCCACGGCAATAATTATCTATCTTAATTAAAAAGGATATCTAGAAATGACATTATACATTTTGAATGAAAAAGAAGAAGAGGAAGAGGAAGAGGAAGGGGAAGAAGAAGAAGAAGAAGAGGAGGAAGAAGAAGAAGAAAACAGTAAATTAATTGAAATTGCCTTGACCTGTTCAAATACAGTTGAATCGATTTTAAATGAAACACTCAGCCTCGGGACAAATGACATTTCATTTGCGGGCAAGGACCTTTCTTTTAAAAACAACTCAAACGTAAATGACTCATCTCAAATCAAGCTCTGCCACGCTACTAAACGAAGTCTCTTTTATCTACCAATTTTCTCTTCCGAATGCAGACGAACTTAAATACCCCGCGAAGGGCGTTTAACTTCGCGTCGGATACTAGGTCAACACGACAAACCCATTGGCAATACAATACGTCCTTGCGATATCTCAAGCAGAAACGGATGGGCCATAAAATTTTGTTTCTTTGGCTAGCGGATCTAACAAGGAGGTTGAGTTGACACTGTCGAGATAAGCAGCACGCGAGCTCTGTAGGGAAAGCTGAATATTCCTTGATGCAACCAACACGCGAACGGAGCAAATTAGTACAGTCGCAAGCAATGATACGATACCACGTCGTAAAACGCTTGAAACACATTTCGATTCTGGCAAGATAACAAAACAAAAAGGGAAGTGTTTAAAACAATAAGGTGGTGGATTGCGATGTTTTATTATTTTATCATTAGTGATCCGAAGCAAAATTAACCGAAAGCGTATTCCAAAAAACAATTCATTACACATTGTAAGTGAATGCAATATATAGTACTCGTATATGTGTATACTACTCTTAACATTTCGAACATTTTACCAATTAACAGTATGCATTTCGAAGCTTATCAATCACATCATTAGTTTATAACAAATAATAATAATAATAATAATAATAATAATAATAATAATTATTATTATATTAAATTTATTATATTATTTATTAATATTATTATATTATATAATAATATTATAATATTATATTAATATTATTATATTAATTATTATATTATTATTATTATAAATAAGTACTTAATTGATAGAGTGTAAAATGGAAGATTACGTCAGAACACAAAAACACCTACGACTCTTAACGATTTACGAATATTTTTTATCTCTGGGTTCACCCTTCCATACGGGGAAAATAACCTGATGATGATGATGATGTATGGGCGGACTTGGATGGACGAAGTAGCTAAGTGCGTGAACCGACTCAACGCTTCGTTCCGAAGGGTCGCGGGTTTGAATCCCGCCTTGGGTATAGTTGTTTGTCCCTTGCCTCTCGGGTTTGTGGCATGTGTTGTCGCGGAGGGCCTCACGTTCTGCTGAAGAGAGATCAGGGGAGCCCGGAAGTTTGTTGGTGTCTAGTGTATGGTCGAATATGCGTTCTGTCGGGTCGTACGTCAAGGATAATCGGCTGGATGAAAGCCCTAGTAAAAAAAAATATGTATGCGCTTTCCGGATCGGGGAAGACAGATATCGAGGAAACCATGTTTTTACATCGACCTTTCCAAAAATTTTTGTTCTGTTCTCACTTCTGGGTTTGATTGAAATTTGTTTTTGGCATTTCTAATGTGGCTGAATGGCATCGGGTCCAGGAAGCCTGTAGAAAAAAAAGGAACGCACGCCTCTCCGTGGTTGATTGATGTTTCCGGGCACAACTGCTATAGTCAACTGCAATAATCCCTATAGTTTAGTGAATGTTGCGTGCCGATAGGCGGCGTTGTGTCCTTCCCCGCTGGATGGTAAGATCCGGGACGGACCTACACAGCGGTTTGGGGAGGATTTCCATCTACGGGTCTCTTCTCCCAGCCGAGCATCGCCTCACCCTGAAGTTCCAGATATATCTCTCGACGTGAGTGATAGTATTGCATATGTGCGTATGTGTGTGTGTGTAATGGGAGATGATAGAGCAAGTAAGAGGAGGGAAAGATCCCGTGAGGTCGGTGAACCATTTGTCAGAGTCCTGCCCCGGCATTTGCCTGGTACTCATTGGAGAAACCACGGAAAACTACCGATAAGAACAGTCGACCGCTATAATTCTCCTCCAGACAGCGGCTGAATTCGATCTACCTAGCTAACTTGTTTCGAAATTCCGCCAATGTCGGGACACGAACCTTTTTTACATCTTCTAGTCAGAGATGCTGCAAAGACAGTGGCAATTCTGGCTTGGAGCTAAACTCAACCGGTCCTCTCCTCGGCGTGACAATCTATTTAATTGCATTTTCATTGTAGATAATATGTTCAAAATGTTTGATAAAAAAATCCCATTTTTTATATATATAAAGCAGTTTTCGTACCACACAAGTAAATTGTTTTTTTTTTTTTGTTTTAATAACCACTTGGAGATGCCTTGCTAGCATGATTTCTCTATGAGTTCTGTTGGAACTTTTAAACTGTGGCACCGTGGGAGAGTACGTTCTGCCCTAACCAATATGTCGTTGCGGAGAAGCCTTGCAGACCTTGCAATTGAGCTGGTAAAAGCAAGAAAGTTTTATATGTGCTGTTGGAAAAATTGTGCTCAATATGCGCCATCTTACTTTTGCCTGATGGTAAATTTCATTTCTGAAGAACATCCAAATTTTATAAAGTTCAAAATTCAAATATTTTATTAATAATGTAGAATATTGCCAGTTCTTTAAGTGCTTACAATAAATGGTAGACACTCTCCGAAAATACACTCTCTGTGATATCCATCACCTCATAATTGTGGATGACTGGAAATTGGGACGTAATTCCGAAATGTTGGTTGGTCACAGTGCTGTACGCGACTACGGAACTTTACCCAAGACTTTCTCTTTGCAGCCGAAATTCCTGCAGCGAAACAGGATCATGGCACGCCATATGCTAATTGGAATGTCCGAGAGACAAACAGGGTCAGTAAGACGAGAGAATACGTAGGGTGGAAAGAGTATCTGATATTGGAAGCATTTAAAGTACGAGTATCACGTATCAGGTAACTTGATAGAATGACAAATGATAATCTTGGCGGAATATTTAATAACAGACGCCCATTTTCAGAATTGTTTAAATTCTATGTTTAAAATATACTTTTAATCTCAGATATGATGTCACAAATTTCAGCATATTATCCCGTCCAGTACAAAAATATACGTGAATGCACCTCAATTATATGGAGGATGCACAAGTAAGGAATTTGGAAAGGGAAAATCAATCACGACCACAAAAAAATGAGAAATTTCAAATAGAACAAGTCCGTCCCTGCTGACTGAAACTTCGAAGGCACGAGTGCAGTGGCTTCCTCGGACCCAAGGGGTGGGTGACATTTTGCGCACGAGTGATGGATTAGCTTTTTCAGTATTTTTGCCATGTGTGTATGCCGTGTTTAGTCGCTTCGGAACCCATTCGAACGCCGACTCAAAAAATAATTTTCCCGTAGTATTAACTGCACTTTTTGCAGTTAAATAACAAAGTTATTTAGATATTGAAAACTCTTTTGGGCAGTATACTCGATGTCCATTGGTAGTCATTGGTAGTCAATAGTATATTGGGTGAAATATAAATCAGCACAGAGAATCCATGGAAATACTTTTTTTTTCGAATAAATGTTTGACTCTGCTGAATACAACCATAGTAAACATGCCGTCAGATGTTATCTTCAATTTTACAAGAATTCACTGTGCCCTCTAGATGAATATGATCTATCTGCCTGTATCTGCGACGAAAGACGGTATATCTCGACTTGTGGCCCTTAGCTAAAATTATTTCTCTTGGCCACACACACACGCATATGTGTGTGTGTGTGTAATGTTAAAATAAAGAGTCCTATTTATCGATAACAAATGGTCAATTCAGTGACAATTTATTATTTCACAGATGTTTTGTTTGGAAAGTTAATAGTTTGAATTAGTTACTGGGTAAATGTTCAATCGTAACTTAAGAATTGTACTCAGGTACCTAGGTCAATGGTTTAAATCTCAAGAATTCTGGGTCAACGAACCTTATCTCGATATCAGTAATGTTTTCCCATTGTGACCCATTGTGTTGACCCATTGTGAAAATTCTGAGATAGCCTCTTGTACTTCTTCATAGCTTTTCTCGCTCCCAGGCGTCACATACGGTTTGTACTATTAAGACGTTTAATAAATATATAATTAAACAAAATAGTTAAACTGATAAACTAAAAAGAAATAAATTTACAATTTGGTGTTCTCCACTATAGATTTTAGTTTATATTAGTAATTAGTGTGGTTATCTGGTATACATGTTTAGGCACATATCAATCAAAGAACTTCATATGCAGAACTTCAAGGAACGCCAATGATCATAGGCATGCGCATAGGTGGGGCAGGAGCCCGTGGTTCCCGTGAAAATTAGAAAGGACCATCGAAGTCCTACGTAAGACAACACATTTGAAAACGTTAATTTAGAGATCAGTAGAAATGAATTAGAGTTAGGTTATCACCCTCTTATTCTAATTGTAAATATTTATAATACTTTTGAAATTGATCAAATTCTAATTCTAATTACAATTATGGTTTCCACCGACCATTAACTCTAAGTGAACTTTAATAATAAGTCTATAGAATCTAATATTTACGTAAGTATAGGTTTCTGACTCTCCGTCTTTTTAAGTCAACAATTTGGGAAATTGTTAACGACACTTAGGTAAGAGACTCTACAAATCATCTGACAACCCTTGAAACGATTCAACAAGAAACTATTTTATTTATTAATTGTATGAATAAAGTTATTTCATTCTTCTTGTATTATGTTTTATTAAATTGCCAGTAATATTATCGTAATCTATTAGCTAGTCTAGTCTATCTGTATCTATATTATTATATATCAATGTTATAATATATTATAATTATATATATAGTATAATATTAATATAATATATATAATATATATAATATATATATATATATATATATATATATATATATATATATTATATATATCATATAGTAAAAAGTGTAACGGAAAAGGGGGCTCAAAAATTTGTTTGGCCCCCTCTTGTTTCAGACTGCGCACTTTTATGCTAATGAGGAAAACATTTGAAAGTTGCGCGTTATAATAAATTTTGATAAAATGATATAGAAATTCGTAATGTCCTATGCGATTAGAGCAACACGTTTCCAAGTGCTGGTGCTAAAACGCATCGCTGACACGCAAGCGGCGAGTGAAAAAAAGGTCATCCGCACAGAAAAACGAGGCGTCGCGACTGTTCGATACAATCACTTGCAGCGACCGCCGGACGAGTGAGGCCCACAACACAGCGTAGATGATGCTATCAGGATTGTTGTTGGTTTTGCTGAGGTGCGTGAAAAGCAAGTCGAGTTGTGGGAAAATAAGATACAACGTATAAAGGTTTTTAGATAAATATGTTTTAGGACTTTCTCTTATAGAAACATTTATTTCGGAAGATAAAATAAAAAAAAAATTGTTTTACTTAATACTCCTTGGTCTTCCATGATGTACTGAATGTCTGTCAACTATAAGAATTTACAGCAAAAGATATTATTTTGATGTTAGAATATAACATTGTACAATGAGCTTACAATTGTTGGTTTCGCTTCTCTACGATAAATGTGCGATTTTTATCGATGTTGAGGAAAATATCGTCTGTTCTTTTCGAGGTGATATGATGAGCCAAAAAATCGATTCCCCCGCGGCGTGCCATCTGCGGGGAGTGGTGCGGTTCCTGGATGAGCGGAATGCGTCAGGAGTCGGAACCCGTCGACAGATAATGAGGCATATAGGAAATACAAGTAAAACTACACCTAAGTGGCACGGTGATGTAAGCGACAGTTTCGAAAACGACGCAGCACTTGCTGCAGGGTTTCGACCCTTATCAATTTCGTATAAATTGGTCTGTGTTTTTTGTTTTCCCCCAGAACACATCCCAGTTAGATTTTCACCTGTTTACGCTAATTCTTTCTCTGTTCGGGAAATCTTCGGTGGAGACAAGTTCGCTCTTAAAACGTGTTTGCTATTATTGGTACTGATATTGCTTTTTCGATGAGCGGATTGAAATCCTTGTGGTTTGTATCACGTAGTTTCTAAACAAATAGAAGTATATCATACATTAAATAAATAAAAACAGTTTTTGCTCCAGATCATATGTGGTTCTTTGTTGCCCAATAGTCTTGCTTTCTGGATGTCGCATGTAAATGGGTTTGCGTAGCATAAAACAAAAGTGGGACAACTACAGTTTTGGGCACCCCTAGGCCTTCATTTCCATTATTTCTTTCATTTACAAATGATATATTTTACTAGCAAATAAATAAAATATAATACACGGAGAATGAAGTAGCTTAAATAGCACAATTAATAAATACAATTGCTTTGATGTTGAACTATTTACAGGGTTGTCAGATAGTTTGGAAAGCCTCTTTTCCAAATTAATTGTATCAATTCCCCAAATTGTCAGATTAAAAAGAGGGAAATCAGAAATTGATCATATTTATGGAAATAAAATGTTTTATTACGGGGTTTCTTCCAAAATGTTCGTTGAGGGGGAGGGGTCGGCGTTCCTGCCCTGTGCGCACGTCTACACCCCTGAGGTTAATCCAGAACGAGAGGTGATGGTTAAGATTGTGGTTAGGAGTGAAGAACAAAGTAAATAGTGCTGGCCCGGATAGCCGAGGCCACTAAGGCCGAAAGGCCATATCTGCCTTGTGCCTGAACGGTCGCGGGTTCGAATCCCACCCGGGGCATGGATGTTTGTTTGTGTCTATAAACAAGTATGTGAGTTCCCCAACCTTCCAAAAACCAATGTTATTTGAAGTGGTCGCTATATAACCTAGTAGTTGGAGGGCAACCTAAAAAAAGTAAGGTTAAGATTCTGATGAAACAGTTATTGAATAAGTATTTCTACTTAAGATATACTACATAAATCAAAAGCTCATTCGACCGTATCGCTGCTGTCTCGAGCCCGCTGTTCCAAGTCCACTGCCCAGTGCCCGTGAGTCGACGCGGGCACAGACGACGACTAGTGGCCATCGCTCCGTGCGGAGCCTAGCGAAATCTAAAACGTCAGGTGGTGAGCTGACCCGTTAAATGTCGCTGATAGACGAAGCAGGGATCAGTTACGATGGAGAGTGGCGCCTACCGGAGATTAGAAAAAATCTTCAAGTTTAGCAGAAAACCTAAAATTCATTTCAACTTAAAAAGTATTATTCATGTGAGATTTGTCATCTCTTTGTCTTAAGAAGAGAAGCTATGTTCGGTGTCAAACCTCAGGGATTGTGTTGTTTCGACGCGTAGAACGCACTTTAATGCGAGATGCTGACGTTGGGATAATTCTTTGTTTTATTATTTTATTTCAGAGAAAATCTGTTTGTAATAACATGGTGACCCGAATGTAAACATAATATTCGCTCCATTGTTTCGGAGTTTGAGGATGACTTTAATACAAAGACAACTGCGAATAATTGCTATTCTTTCCATCAACAGCGAAGCGAACATGAGGAGTCGATGAATTAGACGTAATCAGACACACCTCCATCTCCACAGTCCGCGGAGCGCTTGTTCTTTCAGTCAGCAGGAACTAGCGACATCGAGACCGATGTTTTCAAAACATCTACGTTTCTATACAAATATCGATGTTTTAAATATCGATGTATTGAACTCGATGTTTTTTTAAACATCGATGATTTGTACTCGATATTTGTTCGTGGATGAAAAATTCTTATAATCAATCTTATAATCTTATAATAAATTTGTAAAAGATAAAACATGAAATCATAACTAATGGTACCACTGTATGTTTGTGTTTGCACCAAACGAACGTAGTTTGTACTACATATATCGAGCAGACCCTGGCCCTATATGATCCTAATGCCCTAGTATTTCTTCGTCTTTTCACCTATTTTGATCATGGAGAGGCGTTTGTAACTTTGTGTTCAGGTAAATTTTAATTATAAATTAATGTGCACCGTCACTGTCAAATTAAATTTTGATGCGCACGAATTTAATATCAGTTTAGTAAACCAACTTTGAAACATCGATGTTTAGAACCATTGATGGTCTTCGGTCGATGTATTATTAACATCGATGTTTCAATTTTGAACATCGATGTTTGGCAACACCGATATTTTGTTGTCGATGTCGCATGACTAGAAGGAACAGCCCGGTCCCTGAGACGCTGCATGAGTCAGGCAGGAACTGCGCCTCCGTGGAGAAGGCACAGCCAAGGTTTCCGCGGCTCTCATGGAAGCGGAAGCAGCCCAAGGCCCCGCTGCGTCATCGCTGGCGCGCGGGGCTCCGTGGAGCGGCCGAATGGAGAACCCGGGCCATCCCATTCATGACGCCGTCACGTGCCGCTCTTGCCTGGGATATCCCCGGCCGGTCCGTTTGTCAGTCGGTCAGTCGATCCGTTTCTCAGGCAGCCTGTCAGTTGGTCAGTCAGTCGGTCAGATATTCAGTCAGTCGGTCGGTTGGTTGGTTGGTTGGATCGTTAGTCGGTTGGTCGGACTGTCATCAGTCGGTCGATCAGTCGGTCCGACAGTTACCCAATCGGTCGAACCGTCAGTCGGCCAGTTCATCACTCGGTTCATCCATCGGCCCGTTCGTCTCACAGTCACTTCCTCGGTCTGTTCGTCCGTCCGTCCGTCCGTCCGTCCTTTCGTCGTTCCGTTCGTCTGTCCGTCCATCTATCTGTCAGCTTCTCAGTCAGTTCGACAGTCCTTCCGACAAATCGTTCGTCAGTCCTTTCGACAGACCGATCGTCAGTTCGATTGTTAGTCCTATTGTTAGACAGACCGATAGTCAGTCCATTTTTAGTTGTGTGTCAGTCCGTCTGACGGACTATCCGTGCGGCCGTTTATCGGTCAGTCCTCCATCGGTAATGAATCGATGTGTTCCGTCTGTCTGTCTGTCTCTCTCTCGATATATATATATATATATATATATATATATATATATATATATATATAAATTCCAATATTTTAAATAATTTTCTAACTTTTTTACAAATTCAATTAATCTTCTGTTTTATTGCAGTGAGCATTAATTTCAAATTGTCTTCAAAGAGGCTCAAGGGCAAA